TTTAACAGCCTGATGATGGGATTTTAATCCTGAAACCGGTCGCATAAGACGACAACAATAGGATCACTGACGTACAGGTAATATAAACCATTTTAGTGATTTAGTGACTGTAAAACTATTTGTTGTTACATGTAAATTATTTAAAACACATACTTACTCCCAACGCCATATATGTAGGTATTTCACCGCACCAATCATACCCCTCTCGATCCAAGTCTTCGTTAGTTGTTCCTGTTCTTTCTATATCAACTGTCATTTGGCTCCACCATTTTTGCCGTAGACTTCCCTTGGTCATCTTCCTTCAGGGTTCCTTTTAATACTTGTTTGATATTATTGTCATATTTCTTCTCAAAACATAAAATTGTTTACCCAAAGTAAAATAGAGCAATTTTTTAACTTGTTCCTTCACGAACAATAGTGTATTGGTTTTCCAGCTCTGAGACAGTGCTTGGCACAGATATCAGGGTTGGTCTTTGGACTAAACCAAACACAGGTTTTTAACAACCAAATTAAGTAAGCATGGTTACCACATCCAACTATGTTAAAAGACTGTTTAGGCCTAAAAAGAGTTCTATGCGTTGATTGTAGATTTGATTAAAAGTTGATCAAAGAATTGTTTTTTTTTGTTGCAGGAGCATATTGAGAAATCTAAATATGCGGCGCACAACTCAACGAGATGTGAGCGTCAAAGAGCTTTAAGACCAAAAAATCTCAACCAGACTCGAACAGTTGTGGAAAAAACAACCCCTTTCCGAACTCCAAAAACTCCGGGAAGGACTTTCACAAAAACTCCCACGAAAACACCCTCCAAGATCCCGTTCAGGATTCCAACAGGGTCAAAAATTCCCAGTCAAGTTCCCCCGGTGAGTCCCCGAAGAAAGCCAGCTTTGTCCACAACCAAACTTCCAATCATATTTTGAAGTTTCAAAAACTTTATCTTGTCAACAAATCATGATACAAATCTAGATACAAATGCTGCTGAAATATTCAAGGTTATGTTTTTAGGAAAAAGTATTTTGCTTGGATTAAATGAATATATAGGATGGAGAGGACACAGCTAACTCACCTGATGAAAGGTTGCAGACGAGTCATAAAACACACACATAATAATACTTGATATTTCGCCTTTTTCAGAGGCTTCTTCAGAAGTAGGCCTAGATGGCAATTACAAGAACAACAGTTTAACTGTTGTTAACAGTTACTGTTAACAGTTGTTCTTGTAACTGCCATCTAGGCCTACTTCTGAAGAAGCCTCTGAAAGAGGCGAAATATCAAGTATTATTATGTGTGTGTTTTATGTGTTCTTTGACTCGTCTGCACCTTTCATCAGGTGAGTTATCTGTGTCCTCTCCATCCTATATATTTGCTGAAATTCATAATTTTTACTCTGTATTAACAATAATTTTATTTTTGGTATTGTGCAATAAGATTTACAATAATTCTTTGTTTTTATTTTCTTGACTACAAATAATTGTTAAAAATATTTTACTGTAATTGATGCAACATATTGTAATGTATTGTTATATGAATATACAATTGTAAAATGTGTTTATTTTAGGTACTATTTTTGTGTTTGTCAACTGTGTTGTCAGCAATGTATTTGTTTAAGTAAGAAACTGTATTGTAATACTGTATTGCAGTATCGAGTCCTGTGTACTATCCTTCTTTGTACTGTCGTGTTAGTATTATTAATATTGTAAAGAATGTAAATAATAGAATATAGTACTCATTGTTTTTATACACATAAATTTAATGTAGAATAGAAATAAAAGCTATGAACAACGTTGATAAAATTTATTTTTTTTGCCCATTTATTACAAATATACTATTTTCGTCTGGTTTTTCTAGCTGCTGAATACATTTGTTTTTTCGGCACCAACTCAACACACAAAGATCAAGTACAGGAATTTTCATTGTAGCTGAGTTTGACAACGAAAACTTAATAGTGCATTAAAAGTGTCGCACGACGTTCAAACAACCATGCAGCTGAATTCGGCAGCTAGGAAACCCCACATGTATTCTTTGTTTGAAGTTCATTTTCGATGATGGTGGATTTATGGTGTTGAGGGAATATTGCGGACATTTTCCATTACGATAAGTAAAAATAAAAGTACCTAACATAACAAGATTAGTAACAACCCCTAAGGTAAATTTGGGAAATCACATAGAATAACCACTCAGAAAACGGTATAGTAGTAGAACAACATGAAAAAATCAAAATCAAATCTGATAAAATACTATAGACAGACAAAGGTTGGCACAAACAAAATGGGCTCATCTTCACAAGATGGCGGCTCAAGCTTATCTCGTTATATTCAACGCACATTTTTAGTTGCTGCTCTGTTGAAATATATAGGGATTAATATTGCTAACGCATGTCAAACTCTTTTTACTATTTAAACCTTTATGTTATGTTTCTTGCAGAAAATAACCCATAACTACAGAATCACTAAACTCAACTTGTAGATGTTTTTAGACAGCTGATATTGTTGGTTCCAAATAATCGTGTATGGTAACATATTACAGTAGACTCAGAACCGAGGCCAGTCTGGATAACGGATTTTGCGGTTAAACCGACGTCCCAAAAAATCGTTAAAACAGACCGTTTAAATGCGTACTAAAGTATAATATTTGTAATTTAAAACCTATTATATTGAACGAAAAAATAGTAAATAAACACTTCTGAATAGAATAACATTGCCAAGTTTTTGCCGCGGACTTATATTTGACGTAAACTCGATACTTTTTTGTTTCAATGTGTAATGACAATGTATCTTACAATATAGGTAACAAGAAAGTAAAGAAAAAGTACGCGTTAACGTCAAACATCTGCGGTAAAGACTGGAAAATGTAGTTGTGTTTTAATGAGTTCAAATGGGTTATTTTCTGCAAGAAAATAAACAGACATAAAGTTTAGATTGGTAAAAAGAGTTTGGCATGCATTAGCAATATTTTATATCTATATATTTCAAGAGAGCATCAACTTAAATAGATGCGTTTTATAATGGTGAGTGTATGGGCTGCGTCGGCTACTGCCAGTAGATGGGGGGAGCTAGACCGAAAACAGCACCCGCAGTGCTACTGAGAGCACAATCCAATAGTTCTTTACATCGTTTCTTTGGAACTGTTCTAGATTGTTCAACATGACACCTTTTTCCTAATCCGTTTTATACTGGATGATAGAGCAAGCTACTGTAACAACTACAACTGTCTTCTCCCTTAATTTTTGATACTATAATAGAAGATTATTTTCCATGAAATAATGGAAAATAGTATTATAAAATACCCCCACTGCAGCAAACCTGCCGACTTAGCGAATTTCCATTTGCCTGGATTGATTTTTAATTATTAATCTATTAAATTTACATTTATGTTTAACAAGTACCTAGTTTAACTGCTACAGGGAAACTACCTAATAAAGTGTGTTTTTTATTAAAATATCAATAGCTTAGTATAAAAAAAATGAAAACGCCAAGTTTGATCAAAATTTATCCATAAACAAGCCAACTACAACATAATTATTATAATATTCTCCATAAGAATAACATGAGAATTTTAAATTAACAATTTTTTTGAATTTTCTCTGTAACCAATTATCTTACAAAAACACTTTGATATACTAAATTATTTGTTTTTTAAGCTCTTTAAATATGTTGTGTGTTTTAAGGGTAAAAAAAAGAGAATCCCCCATGTTTACCCTATAAAACCCCCGTTCCCATGGTCCGATCATGCTGGTTCGCGAACTCATTCAAGTTTATCCCGCCTTACACCATCAAACCAAATTTTATGAAAATCGGACAAAAATTACTCAAGTTATTGTGCGGATGGACACACACACACACATATATATATATATACATATATAAAAATTTGAACGAATGGTGTTTTTGGCCTCTGGGGACATCAAAATGAAAAAGTAAATCGGTCCCGGGCCTAGGTCTTACCATGAGAGCTACTTCACTTCCCTATAGGGAAATTCGCTAAAAATGGCTCAAACAATTTTTATAACAATTAAGTATATCATGAAAAAAAAATTAAATGGTACCTTCAACTTCAACTCTCAATGCTGTAAAAATTACAGTTCAAAATTAATACCAATTGTGATTTTACCTATAAAATATTATAGTTACTCCTACTACCTATATACCCATGATAAGGTAATCTCAGGAAAATATCTGCAAAATTTGAATTTGTTTTTTTAAGTAAATAATGGACAAATAAATCAATATGTTTTTCTACAGTCACCAGACAAAGTGGGCTTCCTTGCACAGATCACAGTACAGAAAGCCTTACTTTGGTGCACACCAGTATTCCAACCAAACAACACAAAACAGCGTACCTTTATTATGCACGTAATCCGTGTAGGCTTGAAAATAAGTTGGCAACCCTTATTATCTTGTACAGTTTGAAAGACAACCTAATTATTTATACTTAAATTCTTTTCATTGAAATGGCGACCATATGGTAGGAAAAATATAATGTATAACATGAGTGAAAACTGCCTTTGCTGCACGTTAACATTTCTCTCCTTCGCCCACTAGTTACACAAATAACTATAATTGACTTTTCATTAAACCCTTTAAAATATTAATTTGAAGTACATAATTTTTTATATTGTATGTGTGTTGGTATTACAAATTGAAACTTATTTTTTCTGAAATTCTTTGACACAGGTACCGTACATGAATTAAGGCAGGCTTTCATTTGTATGTTAAAATATGCAGAGCCCTTTCACTACCTATATACGATCACCTGCCGCTACTGGCTAAAATAACAAATAGTGGTTCTCAATAGGCCTATGTTGCTACGTTCAATTGGAAATATTTTCAGACCAGAATAAAGACAAGCATTTTTAGGTACAAACAATGTACAAATCATACAAAAATTAATTGACTTTCTCAAAGCAAAGCTTGGTTCTCCTAATGTACTAGGTAAGTATCAGCTGGTTGCTAGGTAAGTATGGATGAAACAGCTGAGCAAAAAGTCAAAACATTTGAACTGTTTGAATGTAATTTGAGGTTACAATCTTATTCTTCCATTGACAACCAATAAAATTTATTAAAGTATTATTATTTTTGTTTTTTAACAGTCAAAATTTGCAATTTATAGGTAGTTTTCACTGTAAGTACCCAAAATTCTATTTACTCTTTTATAGATAGCAAATTTGCTGAACAAAAGTTATATTAACTAAAAAATCATTCTTGAAATCCTTGATTTCCACAATTCTTTATAAATGGAATATGGATTTTGCTTGTGATATTTCAAAATTATCACAAGACAAAATTGTTTGGCTGCACTTTACTTTAGGTCCGACACTCATTCGAATAAAAAAATATCGATCGATATATCGATTAATCGATTGTTTCATTCGAATGAGTGTATAGGACCTAAAGTAAAGTGCAGCCAATTGTTTTAAAGGTACACATTGTAAAAATTGGTTGACTAGTGGAATGATGACAAATAAAGAGTGATCTTATAAGTTCAGTTAAATAGCTGAGTTTTTGGGCCCCTCTCAAAAACTAAATTTGAAAACCAACTAATCAATACCAAATGTACATATTTCATTAAACCGGCAAATTGGGTCTCCTAAACGATGGCATAATTTTGGCCAAATCCAACATGATATACTATTTTATTGACAGAATGGAAGAACACCAGTCTAGTTTCATGCCTTGCTTGCGACACACGTGCAAGTCTATCCTACCAGGTTTTGACTACAAAACTTCCACCGGAGTTGGGCTCCGATACTCAGCCCCTGTGCCACGGCATGTAGAGGTATTGACAAATTTGAACATTGATTTGTTTAAAATATGATTTATCTATTTTATTCTGTATGCCATTTTTAGGTTCATCAGCATATTATAAGTTTTTTGAGTGGGAACATTTCCTAACCTATTGTACTATAATGGTAGCGTGGTACAATAATGTTAGCATTGTACTATAATGCCAGCATTGTACTATAATGCCAGCATTGTACTACAATGCCAGCGTTTTGTATTATATAATGTCTAATGCCAGCATTGTACTATACTGCCAGCATTGTACTATACTGCCAGCATTGTACTATACTGCCAGCATTGTACTATACTGCCAGCATTGTACTATACTGCCAGCATTGTACTATACTGCCAGCATTGTACTATACTGCCAGCATTGTACTATACTGCCAGCATTGTACTATACTGCCAGCATTGTACTATACTGCCAGCATTGTACTATACTGCCAGCATTGTACTATAATGCCAGCATTTTGTATTATAATGTCTAATGTCAGCGTTGTACTATACTGCCAGCATTTTGTATTATAATGTCTAATGTCAGCATGTACTATCAAGCCAGTGTTAAACTGCAATGTCATTGTTAAGGCTTTATAGTAGTAACACTAGAAAATCATCACAGCTTCTTGACACACATGTGGTATTAGGTATACATAGTACCTAAGTCAATTACAGTTCTACATAACTGCAAATTCTACATAACTGCAACTTATGGACATAACATGAGTAAAACATGACAACTAAAATTAATATTCCCAAGGTCTCCCAAGAGTATATTAATAGGTTGAGGTCAGGTTAATTTTTTTTAAATTTAAACTTTTGGGATTTTGGAATTTTTTATGGTTTTTGCAAAGGAACAAGGAACAGTCCAGACCCCGATCTTCTTACCTAACATATACAACCCTTTTCTTTACCAGTTGTGACTTTACTTAAAAAAAAATAAATAAAAAACTTATCCATAAAAGTTATCTGACAGAAAATAACAATAAAGAATCATTACCGACATGATAACAAATAAAATGTATTTTTATCAAATTCACTCATATATAATTTAGAAGCTTCCACCCACTAGAGGGCCACAATGTAAGCCACTTACGTTTGATAGTTTTTATCATCAGGACCTGAACTACCAACTTCTATATACTCTGCCAAAATTTTAGTATAGGCTAGTCAAAATATTTCTATCAAAAACGTATTAAAATATAAAATTAATATGAGAACAATTTACTTTAAAAGAGTTGATATTGAGCGAGTAGCAAGTGGTGTTCTTTCACATAGATTAACGTAAAGTTTGTTTCCGTTCACCATGTATATAGAGTTTTGACAATGTTATTCCTCATATAAATCTATTTGCAGGACAAGCCAGCAAAAATCCCTGTGGAACTAAGAGGTAAAGACTTGCTTGTTGAGAAAAACACTTACAAACCTCTCACCGGAGATTTAAACTGGAAACTGCCTGAACCCTCCGTGAGAGCGGAAAAGGTCAATTGTGCAACCACACTCTACATCAAACCTTATGCTGAAAAGGTAAATTTAACTAATTGAAGTTACATCTACAAATCATCCTTGGGAATTTGTGTACACATGTAGGATAAAAACTAAAAACCCATTTATTTGTAATTAGTCTTCAAACTCCATGGATTATTTAATGACTTAATCATGCTTATTATAAAGTTTTCCTCTCATATTATAACAAAAATTATTATAAAACAAGTTTTTGGTGAACGCACATAATAAGGATAAGAAAAATGCATGATTGGAGGTTCAAGAATCCACCCATCCAATCAAGTTTCACCCAAGCTTACATAACACTTATTTGTTGTGGGCTTCTCCCACAGACATGTGAACTTCTTATTACTTACACATAGAAGTAAGGTACAGAGGAAATTTGTTTATGAGACGACCATGCGCTTTCAACTCTAGTAGAAATATACTTATGATGAAGGAAGAGCCCGAGCGGCAAGTACTGAGAAAAATTCCTATTGCAAAGTGCACAGGCCATACACCATATGCATTGTATTGTAAGTACATGAGGGTGAGGGGCGGTGATGGACTTTGCAATTGCCCTAGACTAGTGCTATACACCACTTGTGTACCATTGAATGGTTCCTCTGTACCTTACGTCTCCATGTTACTTGTCTAGCTAGTAGCTACCAGACCTGAGGATTTGAACCATGATTCAGAGGCATTTATCAGACTGTCTGTCTACCGTACTCACACTGGTCACACAAAAGCCCAAGCGTAGTTCCAAACTTGATTCTAGGTTGCAGCATATGTCAGGTAGCCTATAACTTCCAATGTTTTTTTTTTTACTCACATTGATTGGTGAATTGGAAGGTTTGGGCATGTTACTCATGTGTCCGATATATTGGACTTTGGAGCTCAATGGTTTAAATGACAAGTGTTGTGAATTGCAACATAAATTCTTGGCTAACAGGAATCAAGTGTGTCAGTTTTCTGAAGCTGTTTAATGCAATTCTAAATATGTTCAAGGTGAAGGCTCGGCCTCCCAACCCAGCTAGAGCGCCAGTCTCGGAGTGTAGAGACCAATACCAGCGTCCTTGGCTACCTCAGCACCCTCTGGTGGAACTCAGGGACGACTACTTGTGCTCGGTAAACATCTCTATGATTAGCTGACAGGTCATGCATCAAAGAAGAGTGATTGTTATTTTTGTTGTTGTTGTTATTATTATAATTGAGAAGGCGTTGAAAAGTGTGATTTCCATGTGGTCTTAGTCGGGAATCCTGATTTAGGAGGGGCCTTTGACTATTGATGATAGAATAGATATTTAATCCCCATGTTAAGGTGAAGTCAGTTTTATATTGTAAATTAGCTTTGTTGAATTCCATCACTAGCAGTGTGGGTTGGTGTGAATTTCTGATTTCAGTTGAATACACCATTTCATAACCAAGCCAAACTGAACTGTCAAAAGGATAAATAGATTTGTAGACTGACACACACTCGGGAGGCTAATTCAACTTTGGAATAAAATATGGCTGCAGTTGGTCTATAAGGTGTGTCTATTTGATTGTCCAAAATTTAATTGGGAGGATGTAGTTGAATGGCATTTCAGTACCTCTTTCCAAAGAGAATAATTTCCAAGTTTAATTAATAAGTAATTAATAATCCAAGTAATTAATAAGTTTCCAAAATATTATAAAGAGATATTTCCTTATGGATAATTTTTATGCTAAATATAAAATTGTCTCTACGGGAAAGGAGGGGAATTAAAGGAATATTATAGTTAATGATCATAGATAAATAGAAGGGTCATAGCTCATGATAAGTTCCAGTTCAAGTATTTCAAATTAAAATCTAGTGTTGAGATCAAAATGTCCATAGTGTCTTTCAACATATTAACTAATTGTGTTTTGTAGGTTAAGCGAGACACTAGTCAGTCCCCACTGGTGACAGGGTTTGAGTATCAAGGATTCACAAGACTTTTAGATCCTTACATCTCCACCACCCACCTCTCTCACCATTATATACACAGAGTAAGCCTAATTGTAAATGTATATATGTAATATTGTGTATAAAAATTTTAACCCTTTTAACACCAGAGATTGATGATTTCGCTGTGTCTGTTTCAATGGTTGTTTCCAATATTTTAAAATTTAAAATCCTCGTTAAACAAGATTTTGGTCAGTTCCTGATAAACAAAGAGTCAGGACAAAGGGAAACAAGCTGGTCTAAGAGCGCAGAACTTCTGTCCCTCAAGTCCTAGGTTTGAATCCCGCCAAATCACCAATGGATTTTATCCAAGTGGTAATGCCAGGAACAAAAGAAAGGATGAATAAAAAGTAACTAAGCTGTCGCTAAGAATTACCTAGAGGGTCACAGCATTATCAGGGTTGCCATTAGCGGGTTTAGAACACAGGACCTCAGGGTCCAAAACCACGCCCTCTGTCATCCCATTGGTCTAGCAAACTAAGAATACTGGTACAACACTCTACAGTGTATTAGAGAACGAATTGGATTCCAGGTTGAAGCACAAGACATGCATAGTTTACAGGTATCTAATTTTTGGGTTGTGCTCGCATGAATGTAGCTTTAAGTGAAAAGTGTAATGTTATATCTAATATACCAACCACCTGGAGTGAGCGCGGAACTTTGGACCCAGAGGTACCGAGTTAAAATCCCGGCAAATCACCAATGATATTTTATCTAAGTAATATATGCGCAAACGCAAACTCTAGGTCTAACCTGAAGTAATGTTAAAAACGATCCTGGGCTTGAGACTAGCGTCCTAGGACTACGATTCATTGTTCTTGTTGCATATGTGGAAACCAACACACTGCATAAGCATAATGTTTAATGATGATTAATATGAACTGGTGTACATGGTTGCAGTCATTTTATGGCTTAAAACATGATAAGTATAAGAATTAAAATATTTGATGCTAAGTACATGCATACAAGCATTAGTGACATTTTAAATTCAACATAATCTTTTCTAGAATGACGCAGATTTTTATAGAAGCAAACCGATAGATGTAACTTCTATTTTAACTCCACGTGACAAGCCAGTCTATGACAAAGCAGTGTTCAAAAAAGCTTGTTTCAACAACAGTGTTCATCGACCACATCGCTTTGTTCCTCATTCGTGAGTTTTTCTGCAATATTTTACCTAATTTACTGTATATGTTTTATTTTTTAAGAACTCTTTTTTTATTTTAGTCCTAAAGGGAATTCTGCCATTTCAGTTACCATTCATCCCTCTGTTATAGCATAAGATCCAAATGACACCTCAATCGTAAAAATCAGTGAAGTTGGCTGTAAAAGGGATGTTTCAGAGAAAACTGATTCCAAGATTGGTGAGAAATCCAAAACACATTAAAGAATTGATAACATTACTGGTCTCGAACTTTAGCCTATAAGATTGTTATTTATTTAGTGTGTGTGTCTAAACACGTTGTTAGCATCTTTTTACGTTGTTATACGGGAATGGTCCAAACCCTAATCTTGTGTTGAGCCCAAGAAAAATTACAACTGGGTAAGAATTAATCTCGCTTGGAATCTTGGAATTGAACCATGACCATTAGATTTGATGGCAAGCACTGTGACTGTTACTCCGTTCACAAAATTTAGGCAGTTTGCCTATTATATATGCCTAGCTGATTGACGGTTTGGCAAACTTCATCTGTTAAGCTATTATTTTACATTAGAATCCCTAATATCCGGTCCTCGGTTTATCCGGTCACTTCCCGGAATCGAAAACAAAAAATATTTCACACTACTGTACACATAGTCTCCTTGATTTGAGCGTTCTCACGGTTTATCGGTTTCCTGTTCATATACATTTTTAGTGGGTTCACTTCTCAGTTGAGCTAGTAGATTCCAAAAAGAGACTTAAACACTACTTTTAACCAATCACAGGTTGTTATTAGATACAAATTATCATTTAATAATAGGTTGGTTTATCCGACCAGAGGCTCGGTCCAACACTGTTAACACACCCCTCGGATATGAGGGGTTTTACTGTAATGGCAGGATGGTGAAGTGGAGGGGATGGATTTCTTCCCTAAAAGCGCCTAAATTTTGTGAACTGAGTATAGTCGGCTACCCAGACAATTTTGATGGAAATTCTTCAAACTCATTGAAACTAATGTAAGTAAAGTTAATTACACACAGAGACCATGTTAATGACTTATAAAAGAATCAAATTGATTTCTATCTTGCCCAGTAACTTTTGTCTGTTTTTCCAGAGGATTAAAATCTGAGACTACAGCGAGTTTTGGCCATCCACTGACAAAGAGTGATTTGGTATATTTTGATCCTGAAGTTGAATTTGTAGCCGCCCCTTACCCTGCGTCTCGGGGACAGGTAAATATGTTCATCGTTCAACAGCTTTTTAAATCATGTATCCAATCCTGGGTTTTAGCGAATTGTAGAACCTCAAATAACCAATAGACATTTATCTTATTTTACATACATCCTTTCGATAGTTTATTTCTGCTTCAGCCAACTCTTTGCATATTTATCTTATCACAATGGAGACTGGATTATGTGATTCTTTCTCTAAGATAAGTCAAGTTTTTTTTACTAAATTACATAGAACCAAGTCTGGGCTTCTTGGAGGCCTTGCTTTGAACACACCCACTGCGATTCACCAGTTTAGGTCTCGGTTTTAAGATTTAAAAATTCTGGTTTTGATCATCACTAGTTTCAACAAATTGCTTAAGCTACTGAATGCAGGGATACCAGTATAGAATTATGATTTGTCTAACTTTTACAAATCACTAAAACCCCACAATTGTTTTAAAAAATTCAGACATTTATATTACTATATGTTAAGGGCAGTCATGGTTATAATTGCACTAATCTGTATTGCAGATTATGGCAACACCAGCGATGTATCTAACCGAGTACACACACATAAGTGAAGGCTGGCCTGTCAATGCTTGTGTGGACTACGGAACTAACGAGGTACATACTGTACAGTGTGAACCTTAGATTGTTTAAGTTATAATAAACGATTCACTTTTAAATAACGCTTGACGTCTTATTTACCTCTGTATGAGGTGATATCATACAAACAATATGTTTTGCAAAGGTGTAAATAATTTTTCTCGTTAGGAGCACTAAGTAAATAATTTTTCAAATTCTTTTTGCAATAAATAAGGTTTATTTAAGTTTTTACAATGTTATTTTGAGAAGGGTATATACAATTTTGTATTTCTTCCCAAAAAATGAAGAAAAATACAAAACAAAACTGATATAAAACCTAAGACTTAAATCAAACAAGGAAAACACTTTTTGAATAAGTTCCTAGTAATTAATAACCCACGCAGGTATAAATCGTGTCAATTAGGACAGGGTATAAGTTGGAATGAGGGAAGGCTTCCAACTACACTGAGACACTACTAGACGCTAAGTTTTAAATTGATTAATTGTTGGGATGGTTGCACAAAATAACAAAAGTTATGGTAGAGGAAGGGTTTGTGTATGCATTCACATCCTGCACGTCACTCTAATTGAAACAAACTTTAGTTGAAAAATAAAAATATTATAGATTAACCCTTTCGGTGCTAGAATATTAGTAAGTAATTTTCCGAAGAGTGCTAGTTATTTACTTATTTCGTCCGAAAAGTGCTAGGCTTGCCACGGGGGCGAAGACATAAAAAATTAAAAAAACTAACAAAACTTAGTCGGAAATGAAAGTACATAAAAATTTATTTGGCCCTCGAGGGTAACTTTTGATTTAAACATTTTGTAGTTTACAATCACTGTGTTAGCAAACTCACAATGGGATTCAGCACCCCAAATCATTCGAGGACCTGAGTAGGTACTTCTATTTAAATGAATTCCAAAACTTAATACTTTTCTTAAGGCAGCTCCACACATGCGCCATTCGCCAAGCAGCAAACATTCGTATTCAAGTTTTCCCGTTCATTGTCAGTATTTTTGCACACATCAAAGTAAACAAATATTTGCTATTCCTGAAACGAACAAAAAACTAACAGCTTTTGTCTGGAGCTGCCTTTGGGTAATCATAACAGAAAATTTAACACAATTACCCGTTACAATTTTGATTGGACTAATACTTCCTACTAAGGAACGAATTGTTTACTCAATGACTTTTATTCTGTAACTTTAAATTTACTAATGACAACTATTGTTGGAATTAATTAAAACTAATGTTATTCACTATGGTAGCTGAATATTTAATTTCACAACACAGTAAATATAATCTTATAATATTGCTACGGTTACCATACATTTGGCCTTTATGGTAAAAAAATGTTGTAATTATCACAAATAAAATAACTTTTGCTCCTTAAAAAACAACTAAAACTAAAAATAACTTATAATGAGTGGTAATCAATGTTAATGTAAATTGCAAAAACAATAAAACATAGCCTATTTCAAATGGTCTGTAAGAATCGAACAAAAGTCTGTATAAATCTTGAGTCCGTTGTATAATAATACTCACTAAAGCAACATAAGAAAAAGTCTTCACAGTTTTCTCAGTCTTACGTCTTTGTCTTCCTTATTGTTACAATCAAGATGGAAGTCGTAAACACATAACTAAATTCAAGCTTCTTTTTCTTGCTTTTATTTTGCTTTGGGGATTCCTCTGAAAAAGTTACAGTCATTACAGAATTAATTCTAATGGTAGGATTAACAAAGACATATTTCTTAAGATTTTGGTCAAATAAATTAACTATTTAGGTTTAAAAGTTTGGGCTGGGTAGTGACATTAAAGGAAACTTTTTAATACAGAAAAGACCTGGTCGCCAAAGATTCCTATATTTATTTATATCAGTGAATCTAGTGAAATTTGATCTTTTAATCCTGTGGATTCCTAATTTGACTACGGTAATCCAGTAAAACATAAACCTCAATTGAATTTAAATTTTAAATACAATTCTGCTGAAAGATATAAGACCTTCTGAATTATTTTAATTACAATCAAAATTCAAAATTCAATTTTGGTTTGTTTTGTTGTATGGTATTTTAATTGTTGAGCAAACCTAAATAACAAAACTATTATGAAACACTACCTCTGACAGAAAACCCATTTTACTCTAAGTATCTAATGTGACTCTCAATGTTGAGAAAGGGGCCAGTGGCCTTGAAATATCCAGTGTTTCTTTTGTGTTTTCTTCTGTGTTACTGTAGTGAAGTGGGATGCCAACATTTCTAAAGGTAGTGCTAAGCTTGCTTATCCTATCCTTTGTCTCCCTTAATTAAAATTATGTTAGGATCATAGATTTAAATCAATATCAAATTTGTTTGGGGCTTTATGACCCTCTTTGGCTCTTAATCAACTCATTTGACTAATTTGGCACTTAAGGGGTCAAACAGTATAAATGTGAAATATTGGTGTACAAAGTAATTGACTAATGCAAAATGCATTTCACTTAATGTTTACTTGATGCAGAGGAAGAGACACTTCGTATCCTATCCTATACTCTAATACGAGCTAAGTCTGTTTGTCTGTATGTAATATATATCTGGAAATCCAGTGGAAGGATTTTCACTCAATTTTGTAATTAGGGACTTTTAGTCCTGAAAACGTGATTGGCAAAACCACTACCTCAGGAAAATTTGTATTTCTCTACACAACTCATTAGAAATTTAAAAAAAATTAACTTTGGCCTTATGGTTTGCCAAGTGACTACATTGGTTGAACAAAATAACAAAGAGACAGTAAACAAAAGAACTGTCACATCCACAGTACACTAGCAAACTACAAAATACAGTACAAAGGAAAAAACATCAGTTGTAACTATTGAGCAAAGATTACACTGAAGATTATTCGATATAGGGGAATATAGTATTGATCAAATACTGATTTTCTTACTTAGCCGTATCCACAAAAACTTAATCCCTGCGGCATTCCAAGTAAACTAATTACATCTGCGGGTTTTGATTGGCTTAAAACTACTACCATATCCTGAATCCCAATAAAAAAAAGACAGATTCTCAAAATTTCTTTAGAAATTGAAAAACTGAATGATCGTTGTCAGATAAGCCATTCTGAAACTAATATGATTTTGTTTATATCATCTTTTTATCTTCGTAATCGGTGAGCGTATAAGTCAAACCATGGGTTTCAATGACTAGAGGGGAGACAAATTCTGTGCAAGTAGCACTTAAGCAAGATCATAACATTGCATATTATTTTTTTTTAGTTATTATTATTAATATTAATTATTATTATTTTTGTTTTCAGCGATCAAATGTCTACGGTTTGTACACAAAAATGTTTTCCGTAAATTATAAAATGTCTGTTAACGATATTGTTTTAACGATTAAACACAACTAAATACAACAGAGTAAGGCTGGGTCCCCTGGTGCTTATTATAAAATAGATAACCATCTGCTCTGTATTGTTACCAAGTAGTCTAAAAACATAAACAAGTTAGGCCTACCTGAGTTTCCATTTTTTAATCCAAACTCTCCCCAGGCTGTGAAACCAAACTGAGGCGTGTTTGGGAAGTATTTTCTAAACAAACTACTTTCCTGTTTCTCAAGATGTCTTCGGTCAACACACTGGGCGATGAACGCCACTTGGACCCCATCTTCTGGAACTTCACCGGCGTTCTCTCTTAGCTGAAATCACAACATCAAGAGATTTACAAATTAATAGTAATGTCTGAGTGGGGCCACATAAATCAGAGGATTTCCTTCAGGGCTCAACATATTACAACAAAAATTACAAAAAACACTACACGAGGAGATTTTAAAAATCAAAATACGGAAAACAAAAAGGGCTAGATACAAGTTACTTTTGTTTGAGTTTACAATGCTAACTCTATATAATGAGTTAACGAGTTAACTAGATCGATCAGTAGTTAGCATGAGAAAGCATTACAAATTCATTTTCAGAGTTAGGCCTAATTAGGATGTTAAACAACAAAAACATATTTTTCGTTTCTTAAAGCTTGCTTGGTTTTAAACTATTGTGACTTGTTTATTATGACATTGTCAAACCCATGAGACCTACGGTAATAGCAACTTCCCTACAGGGAAATTTGCTAAAAGCGCTATTTGAGAAACACTTGTATACCTTTGCAATAGCATTTTCCATTGAGGCGGTATCATTCTCATTTATCAATGTTGAATGTGCTTTTACATTATCACCCTTGAATTCTATGAAGAGTCCTCCTTTTGTAAACTCATTGTAGCCTTCCCTGTAGAAGAATCCATCTGATATACCCCCTCCCAAGGCAAATGTCGGTCCTCGGCTGAAAACAAGTAGCTTAAATGTAAATAAGTAAAATCATAACACAGACAATAGCTATTTGTGTATTAAGAGCCCAAAGTACATCATTACCGCTCGAGAACTGTAGATGGTTGCTTTAGCTTTAGCTCAGCCAGCTACATTTTAGATGTAGCCTATATATAACATTTTATTTAGGTTATGTTTGCTTTATTTAAGGTTGTGTGACTTACTTACCGGTTTTAACTAATGCACCAGATCCGCAACCGTGGTTGGTGTAGAAACGACAACTGTGAAATTAGCTGATTAGTGAGCAGGAATGGCCCTAGAGCGGCAATGAGCTATTTTGCGTACTGTTTACAGATATGGCAATGTGATCATTTCCATGCATTGGTAGGAAAACAAAATTTACATTGATTATACAAGTTATCTGGCCTTTTCGATAAAATCACAGAAGAGCCGACCACAGAAATTTGTCAATATGTTCTAAACTTGATGGAAAGTCAAAATAATTCCTCAAACACCATTTAACATTTTTGTGGAATCAATACACAAAGAATTGGTGCTTAATATGATTAAAATAATGATTGGTAATCCAACAATTATAATTAGACTATTACATTTGGGGCAATGTGCAAATTTTCAACTTACCTGTCTACAAGTGCATTTAAAATCTTTTCACTAATTTTACGATGGGTGCTTTTACAAACAACAAACAGTGCCTTAATTGACTCATCAAAGTCATTCATATTTTCAGGGTATGGACCCTGAAACAGAAAAACATTAAAACATACCAGTT